CCCTGTGGTCCCCAGGCCGGGTCTCAGTAATTCCCCCAATAATGGCGAGTCCCCCACCCCCCAAGCCCTTGTTCCCATTTTGTGCTGTCGGACGGGGATTAGTAATCACAGAAAGGTGAGGGGGTGTTAATGGAGCCTCAAAGCCTGAGCTGTGATTCGGGAGGGGGCCCCGTGAAGGCACCTGGTGACAGTGTTCATTAGTGGCCCCGGGTCGGCTTGTGGGGCCCCAGGATTCACCAGCTGCCTCGCTTTAATTGCCTATTAGGTAGATCTGCTTCCCAGAGGCTGCCGGGTGGCTGCTTGGGTTCCCCCTCATCACAGCAATTGTGCTGCTCTGCAGGGCAGCTGCAGAATGAATCCCCGCATCTGTCCTGTTTCTTCTTTAGTATTTAAGACATGTTAGCGTGTGATACTTAGCATTCAGATTTACGTCGTTCATATGAAGCTTTGGGAATGTGTGTTGTCAGTATTCGATGGAGGCCATGTTTTACTGGACAGTGTATTCATTTTATTTTCTTCTTCACTGACCTTTTATGATGCAGCATCTGTCCTCTTATCTGACCGCTGCCACCTAGAGGAAGGCATGTACACTCTCTCACTCCAGCCGCCGAGTCTCTGATTGATCCTTCCTCCCTCTCTTGCTTGTTAAGGCCGCGTTGCTCATCTCATACAGCTATGTCATGACTTTGACTTGGGGCCACTGTAATTGCAACACTTGCATCTTCGGCCCCTGTCAACTTGGCGTTCCAAACACGTGTGGCCGCAGACTCCCGCTTAACATAACTCTGAATTTGTTACAATTTTCTCCTGGGCCTTCCGTCTCCATGGCAGCATTTAATGAAGAAAGATCAGACAGGAAGTTGCGATCCCTTCCAGGAAGGAAGTCAGAGCAGCTTTGTCTCAAAAACACTCACAAAACATCACCAGGAATCTAGCTAAATACGAACTATTGTGAGATGTTCCTCGCATGCATTCTTAATGAAAAAAATCGCTTTAAACTCTTAGTTTATTATTCGTTTTCCTGCAGTTTTCCCATGAAATGACAATATTAGGGGGTTGGCTGGCAGTTTCTGCTTGTTTACGCTGTGAATTTCCTCTCTAACCCACCACACCGCCTGTCTTCCCCACGGCTCATAAGCAATTCTGTGAGTGACTCCTGAGTGCAGCAGCCACTCTGTCTGAGGGCGGGCGGCTCAGAGCACTGATGTGTATTTCTCAGGCACAATTGTCTGCAGCCACCCAGGAATCTCTAGCTGATTAGTCCCTCCATCTCTCGCCTGAGCTAATGGCTGATTTGTCCCCTCACTAGCGGATCCTAATCAGAATTCAGGCCGTCGAGTGACTCGAGTCGGGTTCAAACCGCACTCAGGATGACTGGCCAATGTCATCCAGTGATACCTTTTCTCAATGGTAATTTTGTTACATATTGCATAAATCTGCTTATATATTACATTTTGATAACATAAGATATAGGGCTAGTGTTGATAACCATTGGAATTGGATTTCATTTGCAGCTATTTCGTATTTGCAGGTAATTAGCTATTAAAATGTCAGCAAAAAGTTCCTAGCCAGCAAATGGTTGTAGCAGAAATGAGAAAATAAGTATTATTGACATGTTTCATTTCCAACTGCACTAAATCAAGACGTGAGGACTTTAGATCAGCAATAGTGGCACAGAGCCTCTTATTGGAACTGAATGTCACCGAGCCCAGCAGCCCAGTGACGTGATACAGGGAGCTCCCAGAATGCACCTTGCTGCCTGGTGCAACTTTGTGTGACCACTTATCATTAATTTCCATCCCAACCTGTGTAAATTACTCACCTTGTAAAATTTGCTGGCCTTAGGTCATTTACTCACTTACTTCACCAGGAACGGCTCAAAGCCGGCACATCTGCATTACACTCACTCACCATAAATGGCACTAAGCCGGCAC